CAACAACTATTTTGTGACAACCACAAAGTGCAGCCGCTCTGCTAATGCTATGATTTAATGAGCAGACACAGACACAGTCTCTGTCCTCAGGAAACCTGCCTTAGGGAGGCAGTCAGTCCCATAGTCAGTGCTATTCTAGATGCTACCAAGTGGATTTGGTTCGATAAGAGGGAGTAGGAAAGAATTTGAACTTGCCTGGGCTCAAGTAAAGTCTTCCCTGAAGAAGTGTTGTTTGGATTGGGAGCAAGAGAATGAGGATTAATGAACTAGGTAAAGGGGAAGGGGATTGGAGAAGAGATAAATGGTGGTGGGGTGGGGGGAACAGCATGTGCCAAGGTCCTGAGGCAGCCAAGATCGTGGAGCACTGGGGGACTGGAAGCAGGCTGGATTTGAACCATTATCTTCTATCTGATGCCTAAAGGTTAAATGGAGCAGGGAGAGTCCACAGGAGGCTGGAGAGTAAGGCAAAAACTGCAATAGGCAGGGTCTTGGAGGTCACAATAAGGACTCCGGTCTTATGAGCACCGATGTTTAGCTTTGTTTGCTGTGTGGCACGTGGACTGAAAGACAGTCACAACCTGGGAGCAAGATGATGGTGGTAGTGGTGGAGGAGACGAGGGGAAGTGGACAGGTGAGAGAGAAACTTAGAGGGTGAATCGGTCAGGAGCATGGCGATGGATTGGGTCTTAGCGATCAGGGAAAAGGGGTATCAGGCAGGACTCCCAGGGAGCGTGAGAAGTGAGTGGCGGTGGCAGCCCTGTGGGTCACAGGCCTCTCTCCAGGGGACCTGCTACCAAGAACACAGCTGCCAGCAGCTGCCCCTTCCAACCTGCCACCGTGTGAACACAAGACCACGCTTTCCGGCTGCTCCCAGGCAGTGAGTGAGCACAGTGGGGTACCAGAGCCGGGTGGGTCACTTCTGCCTGAGGTGGGGCTCCTCCAACAGGCCATCTGTCCTCTGCAGGTCCCACCCGGGTGGCCACCACCTTCTCAGAACTGCTCGGTGTCTGGTCTAGGGGGAACGACACTGACAGGGCGATGCCCTTGATTGAGCTGGAGCATCTTGGGAGAGGACCGAGTCTCAGAGCGCTTTGATTCTGCACGTGTTGGGTGGCGTGTCAGTGGGCAGAGAACCTCCACATCGACTTTCCCACGCATGATACACGTGTGTGCTTCATTCTGAAACTACCGGCTGTGTCACCTGTGTGAGCGACTGCCTGGCCTTGCGAAATGCTTGTGGCATGGATCATTTCCAGACTTCGGTTCGGAACTGGGCACTACCACTACGCGCCTCTAGGAAAACAGGACCTACCAATAGCAAAACTATCCTTTAACTTTCTTGAGGAGGAGGCAAAAGTCGAAACATAGAAAGGGAGCAAGGAGTTGTTCTTGAACAACTGAAGGTTTGTCATTTTTCTTTGGGGGCCCCGGTTTTCTGGGCAAGAGGAGTCGTCCTGGATAAGCGGTCCTGAAGAAAAGCGGTCTCGCAGTTGGCAACACTGATGGAAACCTCTGTTGTTCCCTGAGGGAAAGAAGCCAGCACTGCAAAAGGCACTTTGGCTCTGACCTGTCTCCCTGAGCAAGGTGCCCTTGGAGTGCCCTTGGAGAGCTGGGTGCCTTGGGAAGACCCTGCCACAGAGACCGCGGGCAGAGCTGCTCGGGCTGACATCGGCCCGTCCCATTGAAGCGGCCTTGAACAAGATCACCTAACACGGGGCTCTCTCATGGGCCAGCTCAGAGACCCAGACGGCCCGTGCCCACCCCACGCTTGAGTGTGGAGGCTGGCAGGACGTGATTTACACGTTTTGTGCACAGGCTTTCAGGAAGCGCAGGAACCACTGGTCTGCGTGGACTGAAAAAAGGAAAGAAGCCCCGATCGGTGTGGCGCAATTGGGTGGGGGCCATCCAGTAAAGCAAAAGGTCACCGGTTTGGTTCCTGGTCAGGACACATACCTGGGCTTCGGGTTTGGTTCCTGGTCAGGGTGCGCACAAGAGGCAACCAACCGATCGTTGTTTGTCTCCCTCTTTTTCCGCCTTTTTCCCCTCTCTCTGAAAAGAAATAAAATCTTTTTGAAAAGAGAAGTAGGTGTGTGCATCACGAGGTATGTTTTTCTGAGAGCTTTGTCTCTCGTTGAAGGTTGAACGAGGGAATATATTCGTTAAATTAAAATGTAAGCGAAGCACATCTTTTCACGTGCTTGTGTATCTTCTCTAGAGAATGTCTACTTGTGGGGGTGACTTTTCCCGCAAGTCCCTCTGTCCGCCACGGATGAAAGTAAATACGACATGATCTGCTTGGGAGGAGAGGTGGCCGATCCCTCAAAGGGGAAGGGCCTTGAACCCCTTCCTCCAGGGGCTTTTATTGGGTTGTAATACTGAGGAATACAGGGTGGCAAGGATCAAACAGTAGATAACATTTCAAAGAAATCTGAGGGTTTACTATGAGTCAGAGTTTGTCAGGAACAGAGTTTTAGGGTTTCCTGCTTGAACCCTTAACATATGAATGAAAGCACTCTCAGCAGAGCAGATTTCACAGGTTTATCAGCAAGTCTTTGTGATGCCAGATTTTTCCCCAGGACACACTCTAGCAAGGCAAGGAGCTGCACCTCTCCCCAGCAGGTATTCAGGCTTAAGAGGATTAGAGCCAGGACGTGATTCTCCCAAAGGACATGGGGACTCCGGCTATGTCACATAGCTGGGGGGGCACGGGTCTATTGCTTGCTCTTTGTTGCAGCCCCCTGCCCAGTCCTTCCATGAAGGCCTCCCAAGTGATCATGTCTGGCTTAGGTTGCTCCCCGCTGTGAGGAGACTTACCCATCAACAACACAGACCAAGCTTTGGGGGCAGGGAGAGAAAACTGAGGCAGCATTTGCTACCAGAGACAGGCTTTGTCTCCTGCGGCTCGAATTCCAGAGGTTGCTTTCTCATCCTTAGCCACAGGGGGTAGAGTTACAATTCCTGAAACTAGGCAGAACGGTCCACAACATCTACTCAAGTGTTTGGCTCATTTTTGTAAATTTTGAGTTGGAGGAGTTCTATGTGTTCAATAGAAACCCCTTATCACACACTCGCCCATCCTGACAGCACTGCATGCGTGTGGCAGCCTGTGTACGCGTGTACAGCGTGGCCCACACCCCCAGGGGTCCGTAGAGAGTTTCTCATGCGAGACAGCTTCTGGGGTAACAGTGCCAGACAGGTGTGTGGCTGCTGCCCTCTGGCTGGCCCAGCAGAGACGTGGTGTCCCCATGTCCCCGGCAGCTTCTTGCACAACCATCCTTTAGATCAGGCGCCTTCTTCCCAAGGTGAGACCTTCCAGGGCGGGTCTGCCCACAAATCCGGGAAGATGTGATCTCTGCTGAGAAACCTCTGATTCGGTCGTCCGGGGCCTCCTCTGTCGATCTCATTAGATTTTCGTGGAGATCAAGTGAGCACATAGATGTGCTTCCCTGAGGCCTTTTCGGTAGGTAGCACCGCCAGGTGTTGCCACACTGTGGCTCATGTCGTGGGTGTCACATAGCCTCTGTATCGGCACAGAGCCCTTCGGGAACGGGAAACACCCAGGGACAGGCTGGCTGTGCTACTTACTACCTGACAGAGCTGGGCCCTCTGCCCAGCCCAGTCCCAGCATTCGGACTTGGTGGCAAGTGGAATGATTCTCTTTCTGCTCTTCGGGAGTTTATGAGAATGTTCCAGGAACTCTGATGGGGACAGGAACTAGTTCCTAAGCGTAAGAAAAGAGGAGAAGGTAATCCCTTCTTTTCACTTTGATCTGTGGTAGAATATTCTTTTCTTGTTTTTAATACGAATTCTTTCTCTACCTCCTTTGCTTTATCCTTGGTATTCCTATGGGCACCCGGCTAATTCTTACGGGGACTCACTGAGCACCCCCATCACTCACCACCATTTCTGCAACCACCAGTGATGCTCGCCTTTCTCCCTGAGAGGAGAGCCCTGGTCAGGATAGCGGTCAGTCATCCCGAGTCATGGCTCGCAGGGGAACAAGCCACATGAGTCCAGGAGGCCAGGATGGAGGCCTCCCATTTCCAGGTACTTGGCTCCCGGCTGGGGCTACCATTCCCTTAATCAGAGCTCTAAGCATTCAGGTAACGTTGCCTTTGGCTCCCAGAAGGCCACAAACAACTGGAATCAGTGCCACTGAGAACCAGAAACCATTCCTGTGACAGGACAAAGGGCGGCCAGGCTGTGATTCACGTTCTGGGGCCCAGCACAGGCCCGGGTCTGCCTGTCTGAGTTCTCAGAGTTCTGTGGCTTTGCCAACTGAGTTCTCTCTCTGGCAGTGAAGCTTTTATGCAGGTCTGTCCACGTTCTAGCTCATTACATATGTGTGCATGTGTGTGTGCCCCACAATTCGCTCCAGCCATCGTTGCAGACCAGTTCACGGTGGCTTTGACCACCGCACGCGGCCTGATGGTGCCTCACTCAGCCTGCCACGTCTCGGAACCTGTTTGGGGCTTGGGCGTGTGCAGCCTGGGAATGCAGGGAGCTGACTCTGTGGGGCTGCCTTTGATGAACGGGGGATGCACACTGCTACAGAAATGCTCCCTCTTTTCCCCACACCGGGTGGTTCTGAGGTGGATTTCCTCAAGTTCCTCAGACCTTCTGGCTGGCTGGAGCTGTGCCCTCGGCACTGGCCAACCTGAAAAAATACGTCCCTGTGCAGGTCTTGCCCCTTTCCCCTTTCCTCCCCCGCCCCGTCCTTTACTCCTGCTCCCCGGAATCTTGCTCCCTCGTCACTGCACAGAGCACTGTCCCGGCCCTGCTCTCGGCGGGCCCAGACCGAGACGCATGTGTGAGCAGGCCGGCTCAGGCCTCGGTCGGTCAACACAGTGCGGGCTTCTAGCATGCGGGGGTTACTCTCAGCCTCAGAGGCTCATCACCAAGCACCGCCAGAACTAGCCCGAGGTGACCCAGAGAGAAGTTGGGTGACAGTGTGGCCTGGGTCACCAAATGGTGGAAATAAAAGTCGTGGGCAGTTGCTATTATTTTAAAAAAATCATTCTTTTTATTAAAACAGCTTCATTTCCAAGGCACTTCAGTAGCTTTCCCAGACATGTGGTTTTGAACCAGGTGGAGCACACGCTGCAGGAGTCCCACAGTAACCATGGTGACGATGGAAAAGGGAAGGCGGTTACACTGAACACAAGTGTCTGCCAACGTCACATGACTGAAGTGAGCAACTCTGAAGGGCTGTGAACACGGTTTACCTTTCTTCTTTGTAATTTTCCCCGTGGTTAGGTATCATGAAAAGAAGCCACACGATGATGTCCGTTTCGGGACTTGGAGAGGTGCCGGTGGCTGAAAGTGCTGAGGCCTTGCCTGGGTGGCAGCTGCAGACCATTATTACCAGAGTGGTTCTGGGTTGACAGAAAGAGCCACTGACCAAGAGACTGTGGCACCAGTCTCCCCCAAGTCTGTTCTGAAGGGTAAATAACTTAAGGAGAAGAAAACATAACAAATCGACAAGCAGATGACACACGAACAGACAAAATCTCATTATTGTTTTGAGAAAAGAGACAAGTTTGCTTGTCTCTCTCTTCCTGATGTGTTTCCTTCAAACCACACGTGGAAACCGTGATAGCTAGGTTCGAATCGCCTGGCAGAAAACGAGACCAGTAGGTTCTGTGGTGCATTTGTTACGGGCCTGGACAAGCCCAGTGCTTTGATCAGATGTAAACAAGTTTACCCAGAGTCACACCAAGTGGCCCAGGAGCTCACACAGGGACGCTGGCCTGTGTTCTGTGCCTGCTCGGGCCCCTCCGAGTTAACTACCTATAGGCTTGCCCAGCCCTGGGCCCTCCCGCCCTGGAGCAGCAGCCCTCCCAGTTACTGGGAAAGGGTGAGAAATCCAACTCCCTGTGAAATGATGTCTTTTCCTTTAAAGTGCGCCTTTAGAGGGAAAGATTTGGGGGGTGGGATTTAGACCTCCTGTCTTATTGGGGGGCCTTTTCAGGAAGTCTGAAGTTAAAATGTAAGTTTAGCAGGTGCTTCTCACGCTCTTCCGAATCCCACTGGTACGAGTTCACTTCTTGGGCGGTGCCCCATCCCTCGCCATGTTAGGACGTTTCTGAAGCTGTCTGTTGACAGTCCCGGCGTCACTGGAGGGAAGGTGGTGCTCCAGGACCACATGCGGCCTCCAAGGCCAGGTACCCATCTGCCAGCAGGTCAGACACAGGGCCACCAGGATGAACAGCAGGGACCTTCGTCCCTGAAGGGCCCCATGTCCACACAAACCACTTCTGACGGGATGCAGTCTTTCATCTTTGCTGGCTTACCCCCTGGGGGGGGGGAGGGCATTATAAGGCTGTGCTTTTAAGGACTATGGGACTCTCTTCACCATCTTTTAATATCCTTGTGTGGCTTGGAGTTTGCTTGTATTTTATTCTATAAAAACAAGCAAAACAAATGTTAGTAACAAATCTGGAAGAGACATCCTCCAGTCTCCAAACAAATAAACCAAACCCAGAACTGCAGCATCTTACAAAAGAAAAAAAAAAAACCAGATCCTGAAGGTCTTCCCTGACCAAACTGTTCCCAAGCCGCTGCTGCTGTGGGGACGGACGTGGGGAGGTGGCGGTCTGGGTCCGACCGGAATGGGCAGAGTTCCACCTCCCCGCCACTGCTAAACCTCCGACGGCTCAGCTGGTCCGTGGCGTTTCTGAGAGGTTGTGGGGAACGCTCTGCCAGGCCCGGGCCGCTGCACAGGCGTGGTGCAGGGGGAGGCTCTTACCCCTTGACCCTCAGCATCTGGTCGATGGTGTCTGGCAGGGGGATGCCGAAGCTCTCTGGGAGGAACAAGGTGAGGATGGCTGTCAGGACCGTCAGACTTCCCATGAGAATATAGGGTAGGAAGCGGTCATAGGCACCTAGGGAGAAGCAGACAGAGCCCAAAGCCGGCGTGCGGTTAGACCTGGTTGCACTCTGGCCCTTTGGCTGCCAGGACTCTCTAAAGGGGGTCACCTGCTCTCTCAGCCTCTGCGTGTCCCACAGTCTGAGTTGCCAGACTGGAATCCAGCACCCAGACAGGTCTCGGCACCTGGGTCTGCACCGACATGCTCAGAGCCTCAGCAGGGCCCCACAGGGCAGGGAAGGGGCGCGGAGCCACGATGATTACCATCCCTATTTCCCAATGCCAGGTTTCCGAAGAACTCCAGATACCTGTCCAGGGACAGAAATAGCTCTTGCACCTCTCCAGGTGTGGTCCAACCCATTCGCTTTGCCCACAGGCCAAGCAAGATGTTTCTGCTTGTCAGATCTATGGAGGGTGCTCGCCAAGCATTCTGGGTACTCTCAAGCTGGGTGCGCCCCTCCCCAGAGATGTGCCAGCAAGGGGTGTGCAGGGCACGGCAGGTGCGGGGAGAAACGAGCTTGGAGGAGGAGGAAATGGAGCCCTGCTATGGAAAATGGCGCAAGGCGCATCTTGACAGGGCCTGACCCACTGAGCCACGTGCTCCGAGTCACAAGAAGTCTCAGGTCGTCAGATGTCCGGAGTGGACACCTTTCCCTCTTCCCGTTCCTTTTAAACTCTGATTCCAAGAAGAGACTTCTCCGGGTACAGGCACTGCCTCCCTCAGTCGCTCTGCAGTTTCCTAGGATGGGGGGCTCCTGCTCTCTGACGGAAGGGGCGGGGCTAAACCAGGAACCAACCCCCCCCATCTCTCCCCGGTTTCTAGCCAGTGCACAGGCTGTTTTCCACATGCAAGCGCATGTCGCCCCCGCAGCCCCCGCGCCTGGATGAGGACCTCCTCCCCCAGGCACAGACCCAGACTCAGACGGGTCCCACCTGCCGTGCAGGCCCGTCGTCCTCTCCAGCTCGCACGGAAGCTCGTGGCGCCTCCACCCGCCCCTCTTGCGTGAGCTCACCTCGCAGGACTCACCGAGGTAGACGAAGTAGGGAGACAGGATGCTGCCCAGGCGGGACGCAGTGGAGCTGACCCCCACGCCCATGTTTCTGACCACGGTGGGGTACAGCTCGGCCGTGTACACGTAGGCCATGGAGAAGGCAGATGTGATTCCGAACTTGCCCACCATCACCAGGGTGGTGGATACGTAGTATAAGTCTGGAAGGGCAAAGGGAAGAAAGTAGGCGAAGGCACCAACCCAGGGTACACTGCAACTGGGAGTCGCGATTTTGGGGGGCAGGCAATTTCTATAACTCCGTGTTGCAGGTTGAGGAGCTACAGCCAAGATGCCGCTCCAAGTGGTTACTCCTGAGAAGAGGCTGGGATCTGCAGCTGTATGGGACACACGCTTCCCTTCTGCCTGAGGACCACCGGAGTGAGCCCCTCTAACCCCAGCAAGCCTGTGTCCCCGGCCAGAAGTCACGACATGCCTCTACCAGGGGACAAAGAGCTGTAGGCACTGTGGGGCTAAATGATGACTTTGCATGGACAGGGAGCTCCGTCCTCACTCGCTCCATGCTTTCGTCCCGCTCAGACCTGACGGTTCACAGACCCGCGGACCCTGGAAACGCTCGGTCCTGCCTGCCGGCTGCGAGTGGCCTATGGGCTGCCCAGGGCTCGGCCATGAACCTGCACACAGTCCTGCGCGCCCCCACCATGCCACAGTGGGGGCTGTGCTGCCAGTCCTGGGGACGCACAAATGATCCTGAGGCCACCGAAGGCATGAGTACAGTGACAGCTCTAGGTACCACAGGAAGTCCAACAGTTCTATCAGTTGTCACAGGGCTGTCTCCCCACCTGTGGAGTCCGAGGCAGTTTTAAGAATCAAATCCTGTTAATGGCCCAGGCGACCCACTCTGTGACCTGGCCCCTCCCTTCATCTCTTTCCAGCTCTTTGTCCATCTTCGAACACACACCAAGCTCCCCGCCCCCTCAGGGTTGCTGCCTTTGCTGTCTCTTCAGCCCACAGGGCTCTGTTCCTGGACTTTTCCACGGCGTTCTAGCACCATCGCTCACCTGACCTCCCCAGGACCACTGCTGGTGACCGCCCTCCGTATGCCAGCTCTCCCAGTCCTCCTTGTTATAAGACACAGTCTGCCCTGCATGAAGCTTTATTTACTTGTTTGTTGCCTGTGTTCTCGACCAGTGTGGCAGCTGCAGCAGCGCCCCGGGCTCCGCAGGGCTTTTCACTCCCCCACTGCTCACTGGCTGAGTGCAGGGCCCGCCCACTCATTCCCTAGCTCCTCCTGGAATAAGTGAATGATCAAGGGCCAGGCTAATAAGTAATGGAGATGGCTGTCTTTGCTCCCCCTTACCCTGCAGAGAAAAACAGGTATGCCCACACTAACTTGGGTCAACAGGAAAACTGACCACCAGCCCCGTCTGGTAGCTCCCCCCACCTTCCCCAGGCCCAGGCCAGGAGGGCTGTCTGGTCTCAGGAGACACTTTCTCTTGATTTTTGGGCCAAGCGGGAAGATACGTAGGTGAGTGCTGATGGCATGATCTTATGCCTCTTACTGACCGGGCCAGACAGCCTGCTAGAGACTGAGTGACTTGGTGAAGACTGCAGACGCACAGTCCCTACCTGAGGGCACCAGCTGCACAAAGAGGAGCACGATGCCGCCCAGGAAGAGGGCGGTGGCTATGGAGTAGCGCCGGGGCAGGTACTGCAGCAGCAGCCAGGCCAGCGTGTACGCCGGGACTTCCACCACTGCCGACAGGAAGCAGTTCACATAGATGTCGCCATGCAAGTTAGGGGTGTCCAGGGAGAGCCCGAAATAGCCCACCGATATGGTCATCCTAAAACAGAGCGCAGAAGCTGGAGGAGCAGCGTCCGCCTGGCTGCCTCCCACCCGGGGCCACTTTCCAGATACAAGGATCGCAGGAAATTCAAAACCATTCCTTCAGGAGGGCTGCAGGTTGAAGTGAGTCTCACTTCTTAGAACAAAAGAGAACTCCCCGGGCCCGGTGTCAGCTCCAGGCCAGAGCACTTTCAGAGTGTCCCAAACAGCAAACAGACATGTACGAGTCAGAGTTACTTTGTTGGGAAAAAAACAAAACAAACAAACTGTTTGTTGAATTGAAAAAATTCAACTCCGACCTGCCTATGGGCTCTAGAAACCCTAAGCGGAAGCTCTCGCAACACCCACTTCCTGGCTCTCTGCACATCCCCGAACCCAGCAACTGCAGAGCAGCTGGAGAATGAGCCAGGCAGCAGACAGCAGGTGGGGTGGGGCGGGGCGGGGCTGGAGGGACAGGATTGGACAAGGAACAGTCGTGGGGCACAGCACCTGGAGAAAGAGCCAGAGCAGACCCTCTGTGGCACCCCACCAGGGAGAGGCTGGCCAGAGGCCACCGCCTCCAGCACCGCCATACTCTCAGAGGGGATGGGGGGCACCCCAGGGCAGGGCCACAGGGCTGCTCGTCTGCATGCCCGCCCTGGGGTCCCTGGCTGGTGCATGCCAGTAGGCACTCTCTCTGTAGACCGGGCCTCTGTGGGTTAGACTGGACTCCTCTGCTGGCTGAAACCACAGTTGTACGAGCAGGGGAAAGGCCCGTCAGGAGTTCCCGGGAAATCGGAGCCAGGGTGAGTCTGGTGCAGGCTGAACGCTGCCCTGTCTGCGGGCGGCTCCCACGTGGGGCGATGCCCTGAGGAATCCTGGGCCATTCCTTGGAAATGGGTGACTCATGGTAGTCCCTAGGGGCCAGCTGGCCAGCTGCCCAGAGACTGGCTGACTAGTAACAAGGACTCTGAGGCGAAGTCCGCCTTCCTCACCGAGCAGCACCAGGTAGAGGCCTCTAATCCCAAGGATTCGGCTGCTGAGCAAACGCTCTCCCGATACTTGGCTGCGCTCCCTCTCTCTGCCAACTCAACTCCCTCTCTGACACACTTGGTGAAATGCCTCGCTCGCTTGTTAGAAGGAACCTGACGAGGACATCCAGGCCGTGGCCCTGCTTCCAGGACAGTCTCCAGACATCCCGGAAGGAGGGATCCTGGGCTTCCACATACAATCCCAGAAAGTACTCACGGCCTCTGCAACTGAAAGAACATGGGGTCTTAGAGCCTCCTGGAAGGACTCGCCTGTCGCCCTCAGCCATCGTCGGAGGCACAGGGGGACAGGCACAGGGGAACAGGACCCAGAGCGAGCAAGGGTTCTCCTAGGACCTGGAAGGATCCCCAGTGGTCCCACAGTGCCCCCCAAGAGCCCCACAGCAAATTTCACGCTCCTTTCCTGAAATTCTATCCGGGATTACGTCAGGCCTGTTTCTTGGGCGGCAAGACACACCCCTCTCCCTTGCGGATGACACGGGATTGTGGTGCTGTTCTGAGACGTGCCAGCCACCACCAGGGGCCGTGTGTGGCAGCCTTGGGCGGGTCCCGCTGACGTACCACAGGATGATGGACATGATGGTGACCACACAGATGTTCCAGGTTCGCAGCAGATCCAGGATGCTGTGGGTCTGCTGCTTCTGGGAACTGAGGTCCTCGAGCTGCAGGAGGGAGAAGCGGGGAGACTCAGAGACCCAGTGACCTGCCTGGAACCCTGGCAGCTTCGCTTTCTGTGCCTCTGGGCTGGGGAGATCTTGTTTCTTTCTTGAAAAGAAGAGTCCACTGGCCTAACCTCGGGCAGCGGAAGGCTTCCCCTGGCCTTGTCAATGACACATTAGTGATCGAGGGTGAGGAGGAAAAACAGGTGACCAGTCCCCTCAGGGGACGCAGCCAAGGTGAGGCCCAAGCTGACAGCTCCATCAGACAGCACCCGACGGTGGCCACGTTCCAGGGAGGCCTCGAGTGTCCCCCCTCTGCCCACCCCCCCGCGGCTGGATCCCTGCCCTCTGGGTCAGAGGGAGACGGGGCTGTGGAGTCCTACTGATCTGCTCTGTTAAAAGAATTAATGTTTCAGTCTTCATACCATGTAGTTACTGGTCTACTTCCAAACGCAAAAACATCTCAGATAGAAAAACAGGAAAATTGACCTCAGCTTCACCCAGAGCAACTTCCTATGAAATTCGGCACAGCCAGGGACATTAATAAACCACACGTCTAAACACACTGCTGTTTCTTTCTTAAGCAAACCCAGCTTTGGAGCTTGTTTTTCCCAAGTTAGCAGTTCAACAAAAGGTCACCTTTAGACTTAATGGAGCCCTTGACACAGCCTCATTTCCTTGAGGACGGACCGTCCACTGAAAAGCCACCACACCTACCTCACCTGGGGGCTCGCTCTCTGCCATCTGCTCCTGCCCGGACCTTTGTGCACCAGAGCCCTTTCCAATCCGCGCCAGGAGACTGGCAGGGCTGGCGGTGGCCAGAGGCTTCTCTGCTGCGTGCACCCAGTCCCTCCTCTCCCAAGCCCCAGGGCTGCGTCTTGGGTCTCAAGTGTCTCTAACGTGCCTTTCGTGCTTACCCGGCAGGAAGGCTGGTGGCCATTCTCACAGCCAGTCCCCTGCCTTCCTGCCAGACCAGACGCACGCTCCAGGACTGTATCTGCCAGCAGCTACAGAGCCTGACCTCTTTGCACTGTCACAAGACTGAAGAGACTGAACGGCCTGCTGCAGAAAGGGCGGAAGCTGAGGCAGGAGGGGAAGCAAGACCCGGGCCTGCAGGCAGAACCAGAGCTTGCCTGTGGCGTGAGAACAGGGTCTGCAGGGAGGGGCGGGGTAGGGCGAAGGGCCGGACATTGCAAAGGCCTGGCTCCGAGGTCACGCAGCAACTAACCACAGGGTGGAGGTGGGGGGAGGAGACAGAGCGCTTCTAACTCCAAATCTGTGTTTGCCTCATATTTTATCTGCATTGTCTTTTTACAACCAGAAACTACGGTAGGAGAAACAGCGATTTCCCAAAATGCCAACTTTGTGGAAGGATACTGCTCATAAAGAGTGCTTATTATTCAAAGTAATAGTAAGACTATACAATTGCCTGGGAAAGAAGTGCAGAAGTATGAAAGCTTAAGATCCACAGGGAAGGTGAAGAGATTTAGGCAGCTGGCACCTTCTTGGCTTCAGAGGTGTGACAGGGACTGCCAAGGACAGCCTCGGCTCGGGCAGGGAAAGGGCTGGGCTCCCACGTGAAGGGAGGGCTTCCGGCCTTTGTGCTGCTGCCCTTAGACCACGGTCCCTGGGACCCTCCTACCCGCTCCCGGTTGGTGTTTACCTCATTCGGTTCGAAGATGGTGGGGGGGGCAACGATCCCGTTGATTTGGGCCGCCCTGCGGATGATCACCTCTGCCTCTTTAAATCGTCCCTGGGAGATGAGCCATCGGGGGGACTCAGGGATGAACCTGAAGTGCAAGGAGCAATCTCATGGAGGCGTTCCTGCCCAACAGAGCCGGTGTGGCCTCAGCGGAAGCGGGAAATGGGGGCTCAGAACCAGAACTAGCTTTGGGGCGTATATGGTGTTTCCCAGCCAGAACCAAGGAGATGGTCCCCACTACGCCAGTGATGACCAGAAGGGTGAGCTTCGGAGTACGCTGGAGCGCACGGATTTCAGAGAGGGTGCCCAGCACTACGGGATTCAGCCCCTGGCTGGCCACCTCCTCATTTCCAAGGGACGGTGGTGCCACCTGCTGGACCCTGAGGAGACCAAGCAAAACAGGCCCCTGAAGCCCGGCTCCTGCCATGAGCTCTGCCGGGCCCAGACTCTTGGCCACCTGTATCCCTGCTTGTCCCTGGCATCCACAGAAGTTTGTGCGCTGGACTCTTAGCCTCTAGTTTTTCCTCATTCCCACCAGATTCATCCAATTGACTTGTCAGACTCTCCACCTCCTCTCACAGGGCACCCGGGTGCTTTGGAGACTACGTGGAGCTTATTTTCTGCCTCACCAGGTAGCCCCCGCCCTTCGGTCCTGGCCAGGACCCATGCTTGTGCTCTGAAGCATGCCCGCCACACGCGGGGCAGTGCTTTCACCACCCCACCTACAGGGGGCCACTCCCACCTCAGCCCCTCTGCCACGTTCCCTCCCTGGTAAGGAATGGCGTCCTCTCTGCCGGTCCAACTCCTCTGTGTTGGAAGCTCGGGCGGAGCTTGGCTCCCCTGTGTCGCCACCCTGGGGACTCTCGCTCCCACTGCTCCCCCTCTTCTCCCAGCGCCCCTGTCAGGAGGCCCTGGCGGCAGCACAGAGCCAGCAGCGGGGTTGCAGCTGCCTTGTCCTGCGGTCTGACAACTTCCTGGCCACCATGGAGGACCCCATCGCCTGGCAGCTCCTGCTCCTTGCTCTCCCTGAACTCCGATCTTCCTGGCACAGGGCCGGACACAAGTCTGTTGATGTCTTGGGGTTTTGTTCTGTCTTTGGCTTTTCTGGGTGTGGAGAAAACATTCTGAAACAACTCATAAAGAATTGGCATTTCCTGTCTTAGAGAGTCCACACAGGAATACGTGGGTTGCTGCTGCCCCCTAGTGCAGGCTGGAGAGAAGATGCCCTGTTGGGGGGGGGGGGGCGCCACACTCACCACCAGAGCAGCGCGCACAGCACCCCGGGCACGGTCAGCGCCAGCAGCAGCATCCGCCAGTCTCTGATGAAGTAAGCAAACAGTGGCAACATCATGTAGCCAACTGCAAAAAATATGCACACTCCTAATGTGGAGAATATGATACGCACTGACTTGCCGAGGATTTCTGTGCCTGTTTGAAACAAGGAAGGTGTCATGTGAGTATTTCATTTAGGTTGTTTCCTTATTAATCTTCTGTTCTATAAAGGCAAGAAAGCAGCCAGAATTGTCTCTAAGTTTCAAAGCCCTCGCGAGGGACGGGATTCTGAACCCAGCCCAGGGTGACCGCCTGCTGGGGGTGCCTCGCTGTGGCCTCTCGGTGACAGGTTGCTCCTGAAAATGCCATCACTTCCTGAAGCCATTGGTTAAAAATGCCACAGCAGGCCTCAAAATGTAATCCTCACACGAGGAAGAATTCATCAAAGGGAAGGTCATTGCTACGGCTGCCCAGGCTAACTATTGTCCTCCAAGGAAAAAACATTCTACAAAGTGTGAAGAGAAAGAAATAATCCTTTCAAAAACACAATAAGCTAGAGTCAGATTCCTGCAAACAGGGGGACCGGTTGTTCTTCGGAGAGAACAGCTTGGAGCCCTGCAGCCTGAGCTCTGCGCTGAAGCCCAGAGGTCCCACGTGCAAAGCCCACTCCCATTGATCATTCTTGCCGGTGTTTTGCAGAAGAGGCGGTTTTCTTCCTTGGCCCTTGCTGCTCACACACGCCTCCCTCTTCCTTGACTACCTCAGCCCCGGGCAGTGGCAGGCCCTTTTCTGATGGAGGATCTTGGGTGAGTTCTAGTAAAATGGCCATCAAGTATCAGTGAGACCAATGTGCCACACCTCAGAGGCCAGGACAGACCTGGGGTGCAGCCGTTAGGCTGCTGTGCTGCGGGGCCCACGGCTGGGTACCGGGTGGGCCCCGTTTCCCTGCCTACAAACTGGGTTCTCCCAGAAGCCCTGGTCAGTGCGTATGGGCTTGCTAGAGGCCACTCCCCCTTGGGGGACAGCCCTGCCGTGTCCCGCAAGTGGGTGGCGAGCTGCTGGTCAAACACATGGTCAAGTACTCAGCTCCAACCGGATGGTCGTACCCAGGACAAACGCAGCCACGTAGTTGGAGATCTGGCCCATGCCTACAATGAAAAACAGCACGGAAAACATCTCGAAGTTCTTGGAGAAGACCTGCAGGAAGCTGAAGCCGGTCTGCACGCCCATGGTCACGAACAGCACGTTCTTCCGACCGAACCTGGGAAGGAAAGGGGGGCAACAGAACCCGCTGGGAGGAGGTGGCAGCAACACACTCCACCAGGAGGGGCTTTTCCCAGGACCATTTGGGGGCGGGGGGTGGGCAGGACAGAGCTGCCAGGGCCTCTGGTGCAAGGACAGCCCCAGTCTCCCGGTCCCTATGCTGCTGTCCACCCCATCCCTCCTCTTCAGGACCAACATGGGGCCTGGGCAAAGGCAGTGCCACAACTGTGTTCAAGTTCACAAAGGATCACAACATACTTATGCTGCTTAAAGTCATGCATTTATAATGCATTAAAAAAAAAGAACTGGTTTACTTTGGAGAGTGATGGAGAAACAATTCATGGTAAATGAAAACTAGTAAATAAAGGGGATGAAACATTTGTCCTGTGTCAACTATAAGACTAATCAATCATAGATGAGGGGAAGCATCATTTTATAGAAGTCTTCCAACCGTTAAATGAAAAGAAAGTGATCAAACCAGAACATCACATTTTGCAGCCCCCAACCAGGGGACAGACATGGGCACTGTGTTTTGGTGACTGTCACGCAGCGCGTGACAACTGAACACTGCAGGGCTCCTCCAGTCTCACCCAAGGGACTGAACCTGCATCCGACCGCGTCTCTAGATCTAGCTGCTAATTTTCAAGAAATACAGAGAGAAGAGGAATCTGCTGGACCACACCGTGAGCTGGCGATCGGTCAAGTCCAGCTGGGGGAATTCTAGAGGCAGACCAGCCCAGTGTCCTTCAAAAACCAACTGGGAGGCAAAGGCAGGAAAGGTGGACAAGTCCCTAGATTGAAGAGACTAAAACCCACAGGGAAGCCATTATAATAAAAGTCAGGCCGGTGGTTATGTGTGGGGTGAGGACACAGGGACAGGGCTTCCTGGTGGCCAGCAAAGGTCTATTTCTTAATTTGGTGGAAGTTACGAGGTTATTTCCCCAGAATAATTCATCAAGCCACACATTTGTTGTATGTAGTTTTTTGTATCTGTGTTCAATTTAAATTTTTTTTTAATGTTGGATTTTTTTCATGTTTTTTTTTGTTGTTGTTTTAAAGACAGTGCCACACATGGGGAAGAACAAGCCAGCCTAGTTCATTTTACCCACCAGATTCAGCTTGAATGTGGCCCGGGCAGCAACATCCATTTCCACTTGATGAATGTTTATTTGACCATCTATTATACACTAGGCACTGGGGATATATCTGAGTTAGAGAAAAGACGCTGTTTCTGCCCTCAAGGAGCTTCCAGTCTGTAGGTGGTGAGACAGACAGCGATCACAGTTCAATCGAATGCCCTGTTACTCAGTGCTCAGGCCCTCCATGACGGGGCCTCACCCAGGTTCACAGGGACACAGCCAAGGAAGCCGCCCTGGATGGGCGGGAGGTCTTCCTGATGACGGGACACTGAAATGAGGTCCAAAAAAAAAGGAGCTGTTGACAAGGGGGAGCAGGGCAGCAAACTTTCAATGGTGTTCACCCTACAGTGGGGAGCCCAACGTGAATCGCATCACTACTTCTGATGCGCGCTCTGAAGGACAGGTGCGAGTAACCAGGGTGACGTAAACCAGGGACCCTGGGTCAGCCTGCAGGGTCCGGGAAGGCCACCAGGTGGGGGTGGGGGTTGCTTCAGACCGAGAGGAGCACAAAGTGTGGCTGGGGGGGGCATGACGAACACCAGGGGCCAGCGTGGCTGCTGCTGGCCAGTCGCCAAGAGACTGCAGGGTGGGCAGGAGCCACCCTGCACAGGCCTTGCAGCCGGGAAGAGTTTGGTGCTTCTACTCAGTGCACTGGGGCTGTTTTAGTTTTGGGAGGTTTTGGGGGGCAGAGGCCAGAGATGTTCTAGACACCCTAAAATGCCCAGAATAGCCCCTCACAACCAAAAATTCTCTGGCTCAAAGTGCCAGTAGGGTCAAGGTGGGGAAGCCCTGGTCCAGGGGGAGACTGTGTTCTCCCCTGGTCCTGCTGGCGTTTTCCTGTTACAGGGGCACCGCACATGCCACCCAAGGGCGGCCCCTGGCTGCAGGCAGGGAGCTGTAACCTCTACCCCTGCCCTCCCCGCGCAGGGCTCCCTGGGATGGCAGCAAAGAGAAAGACCAGGGAACACTGACACAGCCCCAGTCCCTTGGCAGCCCAAGGCGGGGGCCAGAAACACTCACGCTTAAAGTATGTCAGCAAATCAGCAAATGTCCAACGTATACATGCCCACAAAACCAGGAAGTATCAGCCTATCTCTTCCCAGGCTGTGCCTCTCCTAATTCCTGCACATAAAGGTAACTCAATATCATAAAAAAGGCTTTGACAACCCAGGGTTATTTTGTTGCTCTTGAATTTCAGCCTTCCTCGTATGTCAGAGTGAAGGTGAAACCTTTGCCCTATAGAAAAAGTTACTATTGGTATTCTAGACAACAAGTTAAGGTAATGAATCTTTGGCTCTTAGGTAATTTGTTTGGCTTAGGTTTTGGACTGGCTTACTTAGAGGTAATGAGAAGAGAAACTGTCCCCCCGCACAGAGCCCAGGGCCTTCCGCGGGGGTGCAGACAACCTAGGGGGCTGGTGCCGGGAGCTGGCGGCAGGGGCTACAGCCAGAACCGCCCTGCTCACAGCTCTCGCATTTACTGGGCTCAAAAGATCCTGCCAAAAAGCAACCTGCTGACAAAATGTTTTTAGAGTTTTGAAAAAACACTAAACTAGCACTTCCGAAGGCTAATGTAGCCCTTAATGTACTCATTAATTTTACTTCTGTCTCCTTGGGAGATCTCTGGAACTTAAACACCTTCCGGAGGCCATCAGCGTCTTAGGCTAGCCCCCAAAGACCACCTAACCCGTGACACAGCCGACCCAGAAAAATGCACTGAGATTCAACTCTGATCCTGGGCTCACTGCCCCTTGTTGTTCCCTGCAGAGGGACTCCTGAGCCTGAGCTGCCACGCAGCCCCGGGGAGGGGACCTCCCGCCATCGCTCGAGGATGGACACCCCCTTCTCACTCTACACTCTCCCCAGGCAATCTCGTCCGTTTGCGGCTGTGACCAGGGTTATGTGAGCTGACAGTTCCCAAGTTTGCTTCTGCAGCCCAAACCTCTCATGGAGCACTAAATGCACACCTCCAACTACATACGCAATTCCCCGACTCAGGAGTCTCGCGGCCCCCCACACTCAGTACATTCACACCGACCTCACTCTCTTCTCCTACAGACTTGGTCCTCTTCAGAGTTCTTTGCTTAGAGAAGGGCACTGTCATCTACTGGGCTGTAGGGGCTGCAACCCTCCCTCCTCTCCTCGCCTTCTGCATCCAGCCCATGGCCTCGTCCGGCTGGCTTTGCCTGCCACCACCCAGCTGCTCCACCTGCAGTCTGCTCCTAGCAACCACCATTTCCCGCACGTTATTGTGATCTCTTAATTAGTCTCTCCACAATCCTTCCTCCGTCAATCCTCTCTCCACAAAGTTATCAAATAACCTGGCAAATACTACAAATCTGATTATGTCACACTCCTGCTTTAAAAAACTCTCAGTGGCTCCCCAGGGCTCTGTGACGAAGCTGAGCCCTGGACTCTCATCTGCTAAGCCCGCCAGCCTGCTCGTGTGCGTGGGCCTCTGCCTGTCTGCCACTTCACCTTCGACCACTCTCCCCGCTCCAGAGGACGTTTCTGCAGCCCTGACCTGCTCCGTGCCTCTTCTTGAGTCTAGGCTTGAGTTTGTGCTGCTTTTGGCACCAGAACACACTTTCCTCTCTCCACCCCCATAGCTGGTGAACTTGCACTTGTCTTTCAGCTCCCTGTGCATGCTTCCCCTTCCTGGGGCAGCCTTTCCTTGGCCTCCCCTCTGTCAGACCCTCTCTTCACGTCTGCACCTCGCTGTGTACCTTACTGCCACCAAGGATAACAAGCGCTCCCCTCAATGAGCTATTTAATACATTCTGCCTCACTGGAAGGCGAGTTCTGGGAGAGCTGGGCCCAGAACAACACAGAGGACCAAGACTCTCTGGGGCCCAAGTCCAGCTCTGCCCCTGCTGGCTCTGTGATGCTGGGCTAGTCGCCGAGCTCCTCTGGGTCTCATCTTCTCCACTCATGAAATGAGAATACTGATCCTTCTTCCTTCACAGAGTCACGGAGGTTAAATTCTTATTTAATGTGTACAGTGCTTCTCAGAGCGCATGGCACATATTAGGCGCTATGTGTGTGTGTTAGTAAATATCAGTGATTGGCTGATACATGCTGCTAGACTAAGGATCTGTGGACGCACAGACCTTGCCTGGGAAGGGGCAAGTGTCTATGGCTCGTCCAGACTCACCAATCAGTGGCCATGGCCTACTTAACTCAGTGCTTATTGGTGATGACAGAAACTTGTCTCTCCTTTTTTTAATTGCTGGGTGATACTCTGGAAAAAAACAATCCAGGGAAGAAATGCACGTATTTCTCATGAGGAAAGACTCTCAGGCGAGGACAATAAGCCACAGACAGAAACGTGCCAAAGCATCACCCCGAATACGTTCTGCGGGGTCAAATGACTTTGTTCTCATGCAGCAGGACAACCCCCTCCTGAACTTCTCTCTTAGAGACCCCAGCCAGCCAGGACGAAGCTGGGTGACACAGGGTGGCCAGGGACCTTGCTGAAGGTCACTCTTCTCACCAAGGGCTTCTCCGACAGACCCTGCAGCTCGGGGTAGAGAGATAATGACATGACAGACCCCTCAGAATCTCACAGAAACTCTGCACCTCTCTCCAGAAAAATGCTCACGCGCAATCTCTAAAATTTTGCCTCTAATTTCAAGAGCACGTGAACTCCCTAAGTCATGAATGGACATGAGCTAGCAGCCTTGGAATTCTATGAATAACCTGCTTATGGGTGAAAATAGCACATTTCCTGCTTGTTGTGAAGGAAGTGCCATAACCACAGGCTGAGCTAAGGGGCATCAACCCTCTGGGCCCGAGTCCCGCCCACCCTGCCGCTACTGGCGTCTTCCCTCACCTTGCAGAGGCCAGTGGCTCTGGAGACACGGCAGCAGCCAGTGTGGTGCACCTTAGGATCTACAGCACAGTGTGTGTGCATGCGTGTGGTGTCCAGCTTTCCCATGCTTGGGGACACAAGAGTCATGCTCACCAGGCGCGCGCAGAAGTGACCCATGGCCTAATTTCCTGGTCAGACCCAGCAGACCCAACCTGGACACGCTCAGCTCGGGCTGTTGTGTCCAGCAGGAGTCGGGGAGAGGAGGTTGTGGGCTCTCTTTACTCGGTGTAGAGTCTGGACTGTAGGCTGGGCTGCCCTTTCTTTTAACGCTTAAGGCCCTGGGTTGAAAGGACACTGCCGTTTGAAGTCGACGCCAGGCACATACACACTCCCTGCTCAGTGCCGGGGTCCCCTGCCACTGCAGCAGATTGACGCCCACCTTACCTGTCTGAGAGCTGCCCCGAAATGAAGGAGCCCACCAGCACACCCCCGAAAAACAAGGAGATCGTGAGCGGTGCCTTCCAGTCGTCCTCACACACCAGGTTCCACTGTAAGAGGAGCGAAGAGGTGTCTTACTCACTTTTAAAAATCTTCGAAATTTAAGCTTTCTTGGAAAATGCAATCAGAACATCCTGTATCCCCAGTCTGTTTACACGACCCTGTGGGTGTGTGAGTTCGTTCCGGCAGCCATGGCTGATCTGGGCAGCCATTCAGGGTGCAGGCGCCCCCTTGCAGGGAGACTGGGCTCCCTCCCCGTCCGGCTTTTCATGGCTGTTAGCCCCATTGTTTGCTTCTGCTCTGAGGAAGGGGGAGGCAGGGAGCAAGTCCTCTGCCTACGTTCCAGTCCAGGAGAAGGTGAGGCCTCTCACGGTCACTCTGAAGAACCCAGGTGGGCCCAGGGCTGTGGACGGGCAGGGCGCCCCTCCCATGGGGTCGGGTCATGGCCAGGACACATGAGAGTGGTTTGGGAGCAGGGCTCTGGGGCTCCCAGGGTCAAGGCGTCCAGCAAGGAACCGAGGCCAGAGGCCTGAGACGCACATGTGCCGCTGTTCCTTTGGCTCTGCTCAGGCCCCCACCGTGGGCCTGTAACTTCTGGGTCCTTCTGGGGATATTTAGAGCTGGGGTCCCAGGTGACAGCCAAGAGCTCTAAGCTGGGAGTTAAGAAACTGGGTTTGAGCCTCTATTCTACTGTTAGCTGGTTACCCACCCCCAGATAAGAGTCCCCCTTCATTGTGCCCCCATCTCCTTGTTGGTAAAACAGGGTTGGGGTAGGGAACAGGCTGCACAGCTGGAGTGCCCCAGCATCCAAGGCGCAGTTCCATCTACGGCCACCACACGAAGAGGTCTGCAGATGTGGGGATGCAGCTGGACAACTCAGATGTGAGGTCGCCGCGGCTGAACGAGGGGCCAAGAGGAGGACAGGCCAAGACGGGGAGCTTGGTGGTTCCCAGAAAAATGTTTCTCAGAACCGAGATGACGCTCAGCAGTAACCAAGAAGGCCACGTGCCAGGGAATTCAGACCCTAGCATGCCTGGCACCAGGCTGCTGGCCTGCCCTCCACGGAGTCCGCGGGCTCCCCCCCAGTGACACAGAGAAGCAGTGGGGTGTGCGGCTTCTAAGAACAAGGCATCTCTTCCAGGTCAAATGCAGAAGGAAAACAAGTCTGCTTCCCTGCCCTGCTGGGCAGTGTGTGCGCACGGAGCCCCCGGGCACCTCAGAGGGGTAGGGGGCAGCCGCCAGGTTGGATGTGAAGATCCCTGCAGCCAATGATCAGGATCGCCTGGGCTGAGAACGGGGAGGGGGGCCTGCCCCAGGGAAGAATAGAAGGTCTCCAATGCCTCCCACTGGGGAAGTCCAGGCCAGCAGGAGGCCAGAATCTCAGAGCACTGAAGCCTGAATGCTTGGCAATGGCAGCCCTGCTCCCTCTGCAGCCTCAGCGGTGCTAGCGCCCAGAAAGCCCCATGGGACATGGCTGCTAAAGCCAGGACAGCTCTCTGACAGAGCTGAGGGACTCAGGGATGGGTGCTGGCCTCTGGGCGTTAGGTGGGGTGGCAGGCAGAGCTTCACAGGCCAGGTCATGGCCACTGCTGCTCCTGCATGCAATGGGATCTATTCCCAGCTAGCACACACTACTTCTGTGGCAACAAAGGTTTTTTTTTTTTTTTTTTTTTTTTTTAAGAATAAGGACTCAGTAGCTCTCTTGTGAGGGTTGGAAATAATATAGCTGGACTAGACTAGAAACCCTGCAGTGAGTTCGGGGGTGTAGTCCCCCCAGTCCACATCAGGTCTCCCGATACAGGCTTTTAGAGAAATCTAGGCTGGTGAGGAGACCAGGTGACCAGTGTCATCTTGGAACAGACTCCCAGATCGTCCTCCAGCTCTCACTGCTTCAGCCCTGCCAGTTGGTCCGACCTGCCCCTCATCTGGGTCAGTGTGTAGCTCCCTGGGGTGACTAGTCTCTCCAGTCACCCCTGACAATACCTGACGGCTCTCGGGGCCTGGTTTTGGGCCCTCCAAAAGCAAATGTGGGCTAACACTTCCTACTGGCCATAGGAGAGGGGGGGGTGTCTGTGTGTAGGGTCAGGAAAGGTAATAGGTTTCGAAAAAGGAACACAGGGGCAGGTACAAACTAGGTCCCACCTCACCAGCCTATCCACTTACCTGTCAACCACCAGATGGACTGCAGTGGGCGCCAGGACTTGGCCGGAACCCTCCTTAGGAGGGGCAGGATGAGAAGCCCGGAGAGTGCAGGCTACGTACCCTGGGCCTGTTGTGTCTACAAAGGAATCCGGCATTCCTACACTGAGCTCCTGGCTCCCCGGCTGTAACTAAAGCAGCTCCAGCCCAGCTCACGATGCTGCCACCTGGTGCACGGGATGAGCTATGCTGGCGGATGATAATAGGTATCAATGTGAGAACTATGTCTGTGGGTTTAAGATTCAGGTCACGAGTCTAGCATCGTGCCCCTCAGCTGGGTGGGCCATGGGGACCCCACCAGAAAAGATCTGGGAGTGATTCTGACAAGGGGCCTAGATTTGCTACCCTTCTTGGCGAGAAATGTGCCTTTCATATCCGTGAGAGCTTTTCATACTGCACATTGTAGTTGTGTGCAGTTCATTTATTTAGAAAAGACTTTATTTCTTTATATTTCTTTATCTTTAGAGGGGAAGGGAAGGAGAGAAGGAGAGAAATATCAATATATGGTTGCCTCTTGTGCGTCCCCTGCTGGGAACTGGCCTGCAACCCAGGCACGTGCCCTGTCTGGGAATCGAACCACGGTTGTTTGGTTCGTAGGCCTGCGCTCAATCCACTGAGCTACACCAGCCAGGGCAGTGTGTGGTTTATTTTATGTCACATCTACCTCCATGCCGTTATTAAAATTTTGGGAGGGAGAGAGAGAGAGAGAGGAGTGTGTGTCTTGTACATAGCATGCAATCAGTGATGCTTCCTGGTTACGGAAAGGAGAGTGATGATGTCGTTTTCTGGAACTAAGTGTTCTCTCCTGGGAGCTGGATGGAAAGGAGAAGAGATGGGCCGCGCCACTGGGCAGCAGCTCTTCCCCGGGACGTTCCCAGCCTGAGCGCTTCAGCGGTCAGACACACTGGTCGGTGCCGTCTGTCCTACCCACAGTCCGTTCTGCTTCCTGATGCGGCAACTGGCCGATCCCTGCCCCAGGGCTGTCAGGGCAAGGGGAAGAGGTATCTGCCTGGCAGAGCCCCAAAGGGAAGCTCAGTAGGTGTTTGGTATGCAGTGAGCAGCTGAAAAAGCTAAGGGCTGAGAAGCTTCGACACTGCAGCACCCTTTGCGCTTGCCTGCCCAAAGCCAGGATGAACCCTGAACTTCGATCTCTAGAGCAAATTTTCTTTGCTTCCTCAGCCTCTTCCCTGAGTCAGCTGTCAGAACTTTGACCCAGGATTGGGGTTCTCAGACACCGAGAGAAGCGCTCGATCTGATCGCGCATGACCAGATGGTCCTGTCGGATGGCACGTGCCCAGTGAGGGGCTGCTCTGGCTTGCCACGAGTTGCAAAAGGTCTGTGCTCCCCTTGGGTTTGAGAAGTTGGCAAGAGCACAGCAGCACCATACAAGCTGACAGTCTGTTCCGACTTGCTGCCCTCCAGAGTCAGCCCAGCCCCACCTCCCTGGCTTACGTGGCCTTTCCTTCAGGTGATGTGGGCTGTGGACAACAGTGGGGGCTCTCCTACCACACGAGACTATCTATGTATGACATCAGGCTTCCAGAAAAGCTAGTCCAGAGAAAGAGGCTTGCTAGGACAACGAGGTGAGTCAGAGTCCTGGCAAGGGCTGGGCCGGGGGCTGGCAGGAAGCAGAGGTTAAGGGGACAAAGAAGACCGCTAGGCCTTGGCTTGAAGAGACCCCAACTCACGGGTGCAAAGGAACTTTTCTGCAGGCTGGGCTGTGCAGACACCAAAAAGCAGGTGGGCCAGGTAGGCTGAGAAACTGCCCAGGTTCCCAGAGGAGGGGCAGCCCTGGGGTCAAGAAGCACTCAGACTGGAGCAGCACAGCAAGGTGGGGTGGCTGATTCCCTCCACCTCAGGGATGACTAAGAAGTCAGAAAAGGGGCCAGCCTGGAGGCACGGGGGTGGGGGCAGAGGGGCAACTGTTCCTGGAATATAGAAGAACAACCTTTTTCGCTTCCTGAATAGCACCCCCTTCTTTCTGCCAGTTCAATGCCTTGTCACAGACCCACATGGGGGCAAGCCCCAGTCCCTGGGGTGGGGGATTATGTTTCCTTTAAAATATTTCAGTCATTGCTTTCCAATCACCCTCCAGTTTCCCTTCTATAAATGAAACTGTCCTTTTCTTCTTCAGTTCTCAAACTTTAGACAAAATTTCTTAAATTATTCACTAATCCATTCGACAAAAATTTTCCTGCATACTCGGTCTCTGTGTCGAGTATCAGGCCAGGACCTGCAGGAGATGTAAGGATGCAAATCTTCCATCAGCTTCAGTACTTACATGTACACACTTTAATTTCAACAAAGGGAGAAATCACACAGGGGACACGAGCTTTTCATCTCCTGTTGAAAAATGTCACTAGGAATTCAATACCAGTGTCCTTATACCACTTCCACATTTGCTGTGGGACAGAGGGCAGGCCTGGGGACATTTAGCCGGCGTGGGACTAGCTGCAGTGGTCAGCATGCCAGGCCTGGGTTGAAAGAAAATGAGCCTTAGAAAAACGGAGTCAGAATGTTAATGCAACAGCTTCCACCAGGACTGTTTACCGAACGCCAAGTCAGACATTCCAGCATCTCCAGACAAAGGGCTAAGTAAGGCATTAATCTGGCCTCCCAGCGAAGACTGAAAACCTGTCAGTAGGTGAAAGGGCACAGAGCTCTTACGAAACTGCTAAGACGGTGAAATACATAGGCCCAATATAAAAATGGAAAAGCTGACAATGGTAGCAACACAGTTCAAGGACCCTCTGGTGCAGCCAGCCTTTGGGAACTCATCAGCGCAGCCACCACCCTCAGCCAGGGGCAGGGTGAAGGCGGCGAAGCAAAAGCAGATGACGACAGTAAGCCAAGGGATCCCAGGGGTGGGGATATGCTTCTTCTGACTTCCTCCTTCCATGAGCAGCCAGAAGCAGAATTTGCAGGGACCCGTGTGATGGAGTAGGCTTCCCTCTGCGACCTCTGCCTGCCACCAGAGGGACAGTCTCTGCTTTCACAGCTCTTACTGGCTTTCAAGAAGATGACTTGCTTGAGTCTAGGACTGAGGATTTGTGATGTTGGGAAATTGTCTGTAGACTCTTGGGCCACAAAACACACAGTCAACTACCTCTATTCAGTGCCTCTTTTGTCAACACTTCAGGACACTAGAATGATGTCACTACCTGTGAGATCCCAGTGGGGCCCCCCTTCAGCCCCATCCCTCTGAACTCTGACCTCCATCTAGGTTGTTTCTTGCTGTTCCAGACTTTGCATCTGCTGAGCTGAACACCCCAGACTCATTGAGAGGCCTCCTCTTCCAGGAAGCCTTCCCTAATCTGCAAATCCCCGATCCTGACATTCAGTGAACCTGTACACCCTGGTGCCTGTCAAGGAGGGTCCTTCATGGCCCTGCCTGCTTAGTTCTGCTGAGACCCCAGCAAGTTAGTGCCAGTGTCTGAGTAAGATGCAAAGCACATCTACACTCACATCACTAACATCCTGTTGTACGTCCAGCTCTAATGACTCTCAGCAGGGGATAGGCAAAGCCACCCAAAACAAAAATCCAAGGGGCTGGGGAATGAGAAATTCGCTTTCTCCCCACTTCCTATGAAATAAGATTGTATGCTTTAGCTACAGCATTCTGGGTCAACAAGTCACCCTGAACAGATCTCCAGGTGCAGGGATCCTAACAGGTTGATAACTAGCCAGGAGCAAAAAGTTCAACTTCCTTAGAGGACATGGTCAGTCAGACTGTCATTTTGGGGTGAGGGTGGGTGGGGAAATAGTAACTGGAAAAAGAAAGAAAGAAACAGTTGTATACACATGCGTCCCTTAATTTTAAAAGTTCAGGAAAGAAAAGATGAATTTCCTTTCTCTCTGACATGTGCCAAGAGGCTAGAAGAAAAACAGCGACAGTGCCTTAGCCCTGGCCCTGGCTCTGCTGAACACTCTCACCCCAACTGGAGGAAGTCTCTGACCACCCAGGGCCTTAGAGCACCTCGGAGGGGCCGCTAGGGCCTTCCTGGCTCCCTCTCTTAGATGGCCATCAGAGCAGATGGCCAGATGACACCCTGCGGTCAGAGGGCATCTCTGGCTGGAAATCAATGCGCAAAGCGTTCTGAGCCACCTGGCTGGAGGACGCATAATCATCGATAGTTGTGTTGGGAGAACAGGAGTGGAAACATCAGCATGCACCTTGCGCGGGGTGGACTGTGCGACCTCAAACACTGTGAAGGTCCTCCCCACACCCCGGTCTTCGGCCCCGGCGCGGGGCTGGTACCCACCTCGGTCACGATGGTGGACAGGAAGACGTCCTGGCTGAACTCCCAGCCATCCAGGCAACTCTCCTGCTCCAGCTGCTCCAGGTCCACATCGAGCACCGGCTCCAGCCCCAGCGCCGAGAAGTTGGCGATCGCCGCGAGCCGGTAGCGCCGGCAGTTGTGAGGCACCTGGCGGCCGTCCTGCAGCCGCAGCGGGACACTGTGGTTGCGCCAGGCGCTGCTCAGGTTCGCGCTGTCCGGCACCCGGCAGCGGTGCTCCGGGGTCCCCGCCAGGAACATGATTGACATGCCATTGAAGCCGTTGGGGATGATGCTGGCGCTGAGCAGAAAGAAGATGAGGCGCTGGAACAGCCCCCACTCGCCCAGGAAGGCGGTCACTTCATCGTAGTCCCTCATGCCACGCGCGGGTGCCTGCGGTGCCCGCCGCAGAGCTGGGGGACTCGGCGGCGCGCAGACGCCGGGCGCGGAGGTCGTGTGCGCGTGCGCGCCGGGCCTCCGCCCCGAGACCGAGCGGGGGACGAGCCGGGTGTCTGTCCACCCAACAAGCAGGATCGCGATCTCCCGCCGCTGTAGCTGCCGGGCCGCAGCCTCCGGTCTTACTTAGGAGGCGAGGCGGAGGAGGGCTCTGGGCTGGGCTACCGGCCCGCCCTCGCCCCCGTGCAGTGTGGCGCCGACGGGGGCGGGGCTGGGGCTGCACGTGACGGCAGGTGGGCGGGCCCGGCCGCCGGGTGAACTGCGGGCTCAACCCCGTGGCTCCAGCCGGAAGAGACCTGGCTCCGTCTCAGAAGGCGGCCTCGCTCCGGGTCTCGGAGATCGAGCCAAATTCGCTGCTGCAGCGCGGAGCTGGCGGGAGGGGACGCGTTGGCAAGTGGGCAGCGAAGCTCAATTACAGTATTAAAAATAACGCCTCCATCTAACAGTTTTTTGCCAAGGCCAACACGGGTACTGGAACAGGCCCAGGGTCTCACTGTGGTTAGGGCCCGTATCACCGCCCATCCCTGCGAGAGTGATGGGGATTATTTTCAAACCGAAACCGGGGATTATTTTCAAACCGAAACCGTTAATTACTAAAATGAAGAGGCTGGGAGCAATGACTTTGAATTCTAATTCAAGTGCCCTTTCCTTGTTTTACTCTGGAGCAAGCAAACCCTTTCGTTGTCCTTTAACGTGTGAGAACAAATGTAAATTTTTAACTTCAAGATGATTGATGATCCCAGCCCAGGATTAATTGTTGTCAGATTAGCTGTTTCTGCACAGGCCTTAACTCAGGAGGTCACTTGCAATGAAAGAATAATTCTTTTAAAAAAAAGCAGCGAGGTGATTCTAAAGCTTTACTCTGCAATAGAGTAAGTAGCTACATTCGTAATTCCACCATAACAACAATGGAGACAAATCATCCTCCCTGGAAACAGGGTCTTCCCCAGGAAATGGGAAAGGTGGAGCAGCTCTGACAAAATCCTAAAATGATACATAGTTTGACTCTGAGCATGAAGACAAAGCAGCACAGGTGACCAAGAAAAAAGAAAAAGAAGAAACGACACAAGATTCCAACAAATGAATCACTATATGATCCTGAAAAAGGTAACAGATTGGGCCTGGGTTGATGCACGGAGAAGAGGCTTACCCTGGGTTTGGAATACAGAGCCCACTCCAACAGACAGGGATGCTGCCTTGAATTGCACTGCCGGCCCGACCACACTGGGTCTTGATTGTCAAAGGCATGCAGCGTACACAACTCAAACCAGAGCAGTGTTTGTGATGAACTTGGTCTGTCAACTAGCAGGAGGTTCTAAGACACAAAACCCCAGAGAACCAAAGAAAGAGGGAGGCCATGAGATGATGAGGTCTAACCGTGAAGATGCTGCCAGAGCAGGCAGAGACCGAAGCAGGAGAAACCAGTCACCCAGTGGCTGCACCGAATGTGCCACTGACGTGACAGGCTGCAGCAAGGAGCACGTCTTTCACGTGTTCAGCCTTTTAGCAAGCGGTCCCTAAACAGCTGAGTTGGCACTTAATTGCCCAATACTGTATAGAAGGCAAATATAGACAGTTATTTTCCTCCTGCCCATTCACATCAAGTGACATTCCGAGTGGTTAGTTGAGGAGTGTTTCATTCTTTTTGAAAGACAATAGTTAACCAACTTTCATCCCTCCCCTTCTTTAAAAATTTTTTTTTCTCCTAGCTCTGTTGGGACTGATTATTCACCCCCCTTTTTAAAATTAGTATAAATGTCTTCTATTTTTTCCCACTTATCCTGCCACAAATTCATAGGGAGTAAGTTCCTGCAGCCCAGGGTTCCCTCCATGGGTTCTCACACAGTGCGCTCCTCTGGGGGCAGCAGACCGGCGCTTCAGCTGGACCCAGGGACCCTTCTCTTTGGCTTCCATCTTTTCCTGATCATTTTCCTTCACACGTGTTAGGAAGCTCTCTCAGCTCTTAGAGTGCTTAATATGCTCAAAATGGACAGTAAATAGCTTGGCAAGACTCTTGCCCTTAACTTGTTTGTTTACAACAGTGCCCACCGCATGTGGGTGACACTGCAGACCCCTCAGTTTCTCCATGGCAATGCCTGTGGGGCAGTCCCTTCTGAACGGTGCCCTTTCCTCCTTGCCTACAATGTCGCCTTGCTTGTAGAGTCGCATGTATGTGGCCAAAGGGACAGCTCCATGTTTCCGAAAGGCCTAGAGAGTGTACAGCAGGTGCCTCTCCTCTTTCCCTTTGCCTTAGTCAGTTTGGTGAATTACTGGAAGACGGTGGTTCTGGCTGAAAAAGAAAAAAGCTATTCATTCTCTTTTTCATGGACTTGGCAAACTTGGGGCTTTTTATTCATGAAAACTCTCTAGAATTAAAAAAATAAAAAGAAATGGGTGAAATGAATTTTAATAGTATGTTTATTTAACTCAGTATATCAGAACATTATCACTTTATCATGTAATCAATATAAAATGGAGACATTTTACGTTCCTGTATTTTAAAAATTCATTGATACTATTGAAATCATATCATATATAATGTTGTACTAATATATATATATATATATATATATATATATATATATATATAAATCTTAAGAAGCCAGTGTGTAATTTCTCAGCACATTTCAGTTTGGATTAGCCACACTCTCAGTGCTCAGTAGCCACGTGTAGCTGGAGGCTCTCTTATTGGGCAACACTGTTTGAAGGCCTTTAAGAATTACAGCTGCTAAATTTAACATTGCAGCCTATTCCTTTTAATAGTAATAGGGACTTAGCGATAGAAAGAGAACTAACGGTGCATTTAAAATGTAGTCTGTTCGATAAGCACCTCAGTGGTGATTATGTTCTAAACTGAAACTAGAAAAAGAATGGGAAGCTAGCTTTGCCAGCATGTTTTACACAAGGAGATATACCACTCCCATAAAGCACAGGAAAATTTTTAAAACTTAGGATAAAAACTTTAACACAGGCGCTGGTCATTTCATGCACACTTGGTGTTCTGTATTCCTGCTTCCCGAAGATAGTGTGCTGGGCCTTCAGAAATGTACTCGGTTCTTTCTAATGTTTTATCTCAAGGAACAGTCCTTTTCTGGAACTAAGTGAAAAGGAAAACCAAGCTTCTTAAACATAAACCTGTTCCTCATATCAGCTCTCCAAATTGTTTTAATATTTCAAAATAAATGAAAGCATCTCAGAGAAGACTGCTGAGCTGGGTACAGGCCGATGAAGAAAGTGAAGACATATAGTCAATCTGCTAAATTACTGAAATCAAGCAGGTTGAAACATGAGGCAATGACTCTAGTCTTGTTTTAACAGCCAGGGGACTTAAAGGTTTTGAACTTTCTAGTCCTGAATTAATGCCTGGATATACCTCTGGACATCGGACAGACCTCCAGATAACCCTGTGAAGGACTCCTGGCCACACAGGTCATTGACATCCGTTATCTCGATGCCCTGACTTCTGACTGATAACCATCCTGGGCCAATCTTGGATCAACCAGTAATTCTTAATGATGTACTTTTTACTACAAGAACTTTTAACTTCCTTCTTTGCACCACTTCTGGTTTTGTTTTGTGTGTGTGTGTGTGTGTGTGTGTGTGTGTGTGTGTTTTTGCCTAGCTGTGTTACCATTTCCAAACCCTAGGACTTTTGGATAAACATCATTTATTTTTAGCCAAAGCCTCCAGATTCTTTTTGAGTTCCTTTGACAAAACCAAATGAGTTGAAAAATAAAAACCCTTTATTTTAAGAAATATCAGTTGGGCATCAGAAAATACTCCTGAAAGGGTTTGAAAATAATTCAATAGTCTTCAAAAAAAAAAGCAGGTTTTAAGGAAAAGAAACAAAAACCCGTTTGTCATAGATGGCTTGTCCCCATGCACAAAACGGAGCGCCCTGGGAAGGGGCCTTCCGGTTCCTGGTGAGGCAGTAATTACCACATATCTGGGTGGTATTGTTATTTAAATCACATCTTTTAAAAGAGAGCCTGAACTCTGAATCTGAGAGAATCAGGTTACCTGAAGCCCTTTAACCTTCAAGATTCTGAATTAGAATGCTCTTATTTTATATGTAAAAAAAAAAATAAAACAGATACATGGCAGAGAGCAGATCCAGGGTTAGAACCCTGGAATAAATGGAGTAAAACCCAGATGTGGTAGCCAGCCGGTCTTGAAGACAGCACCTAATGATCCCTGACTCCTGGTATCTGCACCCTATTGTAGGTTCTTCCCATTTGTACCTGGATTGGTGACCATTGGCATGGAGCAGAAGGGAAGTTTGGTCACTTTAGTGGTTATATGGTAAACGATTTCCATCTTGAATGCCCCCCCCACTTTCTCTTTCTGTTTCTTTGGGAGAAGCAAGCTGCTATGTCGTACGAGGCCCAGGCGGTGGCAAGAAATGAAGAACCCTGTAAACAGCCAGTGAGGCGCTGAGTCGACCTTCAGGGAGGTGAGACTGTCAGCGGCCACTGCAGCGTCAATTGAGTCACTAGATGACCACAGCCCCAGCCGGCAGCTTGACTGTGACCCCGTGAGAACCCCTGAGCCAGAACCGCCAGCTGAGAGGCTCCTGGACTCCTGACCCTCAGGAGCTGTGAGGTGTAATAAACGTTTGCTGTCCTACACTACTAAATTTGGGGTTGATTTTTTTTACACAGCAATAAATCACTAATGTACATATGGTTTAACAATATGCTGAATTAAATTGACTATAATTATTAGTTTTATTTTGATGATTGACCCCTAAAGGAGCACCGTATGAACTCAGTGTTCTGCAAAGATTGGCTGCGCCCCCAGGTTATGTGGGCTGGAGCGGTCAGTGCCTACTTGGCTGAGGAAGAGAAAACTTCTCAAAGGAAGAACCCGTCCTTTGGGAGAAGGGTAAGGGGGTCCAGACTATGTCCAATTGTTATAGGAAAACAAAGCAACCAGACACTGAGGGATTCTGGAGTACGAGGTTTATTAACGTGCACGGGCTCAGAGGAGTCAGTCTCCAAATTCTGAGCCCCGAGCAAAGGATTCTTGGGGTTTATATCGTCTACGGGGTATTCCTATCTACATGGCAAAGCGGGATACAGAAGCAGAATGCGGTAATTAGTTCTATCTACGGGGCAGAAGCAGAGTACAAAGGCTAAAAGTGAAAATTAGTTCTATCAGTGGGGGTGCTAGTCCCAGCCCTA